TCCAGACAGAGAAAATTAAATCCTGATACAATCCAGCAATAAATTGAATATGCTCAGGCAGGATAGGTTGAATTTCATACAGGCAGGTAAGATACAGCAGGATTCATAGAAAACTAAGCTTTGAATACATATATTTCTATATACATCTATATTAAACAAAGTCACCCTGTTTTCATTCTGCATATGTGACAAATTGTTGTCGGCTCCTGGTAGCAAGATCGCTAAGGGCGCTTACCCTGTTTCGTTAGGGGGCACTTTTTGGTAACAAGGAAGCCAGAGGCTGCATCCATACAACCATGCTTAACTGAGTTACGGGAAATAACCCATTCTTTGGGTCTGCACAAAATACACACTGCATCGTTAACTAAACGGGGTTTGCACCACACAAAGCCACATCAACCTCCTCCCCTCCCCCCACGCACACTTAAACCGAGGTTAACACAAACCAAGCTCAGCACGTTTAGGTGAATGCAACCACTAGGCCTTTCTCTGGCATGGTTCGGCGGGATAAAGCTCAGTTAATCCTCGACTTACAACAGTTCACTTATAATGACCAAAGTTACAACGGCACTGAAAAAAGCGAGTTGTGACCAAGTTTCACCCTTATGACCGTTGCAGCGTGTGATCAAAATTCAGAAACTTGGGCAACTGGCTCATATTTATAATGGTTGCAGAGTCCCGGAGTTACGTGATCCACTTTTGCGACCTTCTGACAAACCAAATCGAGGGGGAAGCCAGATCCACTGATCCACTGGGTTTACTAGCTTAACACCTTCAGTGATTCATTTAACAACTCTGGCAAAGAAGGTCGTAAAATGGGGCAAAATTCACATCACCACTGTCGGGCTTAGCGATGGAAATGTTGGGCTGTGGTCGTAAGTCGAGGATTGCCTTCTAAATCTGTTAGATGAAAACCTCAGAAGCTCCGGCAAGCAGAAAAATCAACTGGAATTTTGAAAATAAAACGGAAATTCTCAGCAAGCAACACTTCCAAGTTCTTGGGGAAAAGCTGTGATAAAGCATTAATAAAATTAATGGTTGCAAGGGGAGGGGTTTGATGTCGCGGTGAAATGACGGACTTTCCTGGAGCACCAGGATCGCCGCTGAATTCTGGTCACCCGGATGGTCCAACTGGACCTAAACCATCCTGTAGAGACAGTGACAGGTAGGGGTATACCCTGTCGATTCCAGAGATACCCGCAAAGTCTCTGGTGATCCGGGAAAAAGCCGGTGAATGTATCAGCCATTAGGCTGCTGGAACTGCTGACAGCTCCGTAATGCAAGGGCAGGAGAGAAGCATGTTGTTTTGGTGAGAGTTTTAATTTTTTTTTAATTGGAGAGAGAACACCCTAAATCTGGAGATTTAATTCAAAATAAAGACTGATGAGAGAGTAAGCAGCAGATTTAAGGCATGGTCAATTGAAGGTTTCCTTTCCCCCTCTTTTTTTTTTTTTTACTGCCGGAAGCCTGATTGGACTTACATTGTATTTCACTTTTTAAATTGGACTGGAGTTTGGAAATAAAACAGAAATTCTCAGCAAGTAACCCTTCCAAGTTCTTGGGGAAAAGCTGTGATAAAGCATTAATAAAATTAATGGTTGCAGTGAAGATCGTGTTAGGTCCCAGCTGTTGTCTAACTCTACATCGGCAATTGTCGAATAACTCTTATAAAGAGCAATTTAGCATTCAGAAAGATTATTTTTAGGCGAACAAATGCTAAAGCCTGCAAGCTATACATAAACGTTCTCTCGAACTAAAATGAATGTCATGTCCATTTCACTGTCATGGCTCCAAACCAAAGAACTTTTGACACTGACATTTTGTAAACAAAATTCAGGATAAAGGGAGGAGGAATGATGCATTTTGTTGCAGCAGGCCGTCCTGGACTTACAACCCTCTGTTTAGTTCCAAAGTTACGACGACACGAGGAAAAAGTTGATTTATGATAGGTTTTCTCACTTACGACCAAGGCAAGGGACTTATGGTGGTGTTTCAATGAAAGTGACAGGGCCGTGTTTCTCACTTACGACCAAGGCAAGGGACTTATGGTGGTGTTTCAATGAAAGTGACAGGGCCGTGTTTCTCACTTACGACCAAGGCAAGGGACTTATGGTGGTGTTTCAATGAAAGTGACAGGGCCGTGTTTCTCACTTACGACCAAGGCAGCAGTCTCTTGTTCATGTGATCAAAATTTGGGCACTTGGCAACTGGCATGTACTGATGACAGTTGCCCTGTCCTGTGGTCATGTGATCACTTCCCAACCAGCAAAGTGAATGGCTTAAGGATCACCTGATTTACTTAGCAACTGCGGTGACTGACCTAACGACTGCGGCAAAAAGGCAACACAATTGGGTGTGATCACTTAACAATTGTCTTGCTGAGCAACGTAAGTATTGTGGTTGTGAGTCAGGGACCACCTCCTGCAACTACGGTTTCTAAGGTTGTATCAGGAATTTAACATTCATTTCAAGTCATCTCAAATTTGCCATTCAACATCTACCCTTTTGAAACTTTCCACCCCTTCTCCAAAAAATAAAAATAAAATAAAATCCTTTGGCAAATCATTTTTGTCCAGTATGACCATGTAAAATTCGAGAGTCCTGAAATTTTGTTCTACCGTATTCTTTTGGAGTATAAGACGCACCAAGATTTTGGAGGGGCAAATTTAAAAAAGTTTTTGTACTCTGCAGACTTCCCCCAAACGGTCTGTTTTTCACAAAAATGGACCCATTTTTTTGTAAAAAAAAAAGGGGGGGCATGAATAGCCTTTAGGAGGCTTGTAGAATGCTCCTGGGGGCTGGGGGGGAGCAAAAACAAGTAAAAAATGGCCCACTTTGGAAGTCTCCTAAAGGCTATGCAAAGGGGATGGGTGGCGCAGTGGGTAGAGTGCAGAACTGCAGGCCACTTCAGCTGACTGCTAGTTCAGCAGTTCAAATCTCACCGGCTCAGGGTTGACTCAGCCTTCCATCCTTCCGAGGTGGGTAAAATGAGGATCCAGATTGTGGGGGCGATATGCTGACTCTGTAAACCGCTTAGAGAAGGCTGAAAGCCCTATGAAGCGGTATATAAGTCTAACTGCTATTGCTATTGACTGTTAGCTGCAGTTCAGCGGTTCAAATCTCACCGGCTCAGGGTTGACTCAGCCTTCCATCCTTCCGAGGTGGGTAAAATGAGGATCCAGATTGTGGGGGCGATATGCTGACTCTGTAAACCGCTTAGAGAAGGCTGAAAGCCCTATGAAGCGGTATATAAGTCTAACTGCTATTGCTATTGACTGTTAGCTGCAGTTCAGCGGTTCAAATCTCACCGGCTCAGGGTTGACTCAGCCTTCCATCCTTCCGAGGTGGGTAAAATGAGGATCCAGATTGTGGGGGCGATATGCTGACTCTGTAAACCGCTTAGAGAAGGCTGAAAGCCCTATGAAGCGGTATATAAGTCTAACTGCTATTGCTATTGACTGTTAGCTGCAGTTCAGCGGTTCAAATCTCACCGGCTCAGGGTTGACTCAGCCTTCCATCCTTCCGAGGTGGGTAAAATGAGGATCCAGATTGTGGGGGCGATATGCTGACTCTGTAAACCGCTTAGAGAAGGCTGAAAGCCCTATGAAGCGGTATATAAGTCTAACTGCTATTGCTATATGTTTTAGCCCCTGACCCCCTAATCATCTTTGTT